TTCTTTCATAAAACCATGAAACAACGGTTTAGAAGGAATTTTTTGTTGGGTTACAACTCTCCTAATAGTTGGATTGATAAGGTGGAATAAGTCAAAGATGGGATCAAAATTCATTTTGAGCGTCGTTTTCAGGAGACTTGGTTCAATAGACCTAATTTAGTGGGATCTGAATTTTATCAACTTTCGGCAGAGGAGAGATTATATTTGGAGGTCCCTTTTCGAAGGATGAAATCAAAGAGGTGTTGTGGGGTTATGATGGAGAGAAGAGTCCGGGTACGGATGGTTTTAACATGGGTTTTTTCAAGTCTTGTTGGTCAGTGGTTAAGGTTGATGTGGTTAATTTTTTGAATGAGTTTCATACTTCTCCTATTATCCCTAAAGTGATCACGACAGCTTTTTTAGCTTTGATTCCAAAAGCTGAGAATTTGGTTTCTTCGAATTAATATAGGCTGATTTGTCTCATTAGTAGCTTATACAGAATCTTGGCTTTGCTTATTTCTTCGCGGTTGAAGTTGGTGATTAGTAAGCTAATTTCTCCTTGTCAATCGGCTTTCCTTTCTGTTAGGAACATGTTGGATGGGGTTCTCGTTTTGAATGAGGCCATGGATTTTGCATAGAGGAATAAGAAAAGTTGTTTGTTGTTGAAAGTGGATTTTGAGAAGGCTTACGATTGTGTCTCTTGGAATTTTCTTCGTTTTATGATAGAGAGGATGGAATTTGGTCCTATTTGGAGAGCTTGGATGGAGGCTCTTGTCTTTAATAGTTCTTTATATATCCTTGTTAATGGGAGTCCTACCAAGGATTTTATGGTTTCAAGAGGCCTTAGATAGGGGGATCCTTTTTCTCCATTCCTCTTTCAATTGGTGGCGGAGGTGTTAGCGGCTATGATGAAGAAAGCTTTTAATTTGGGCGAGATTGATGGATTTCGGTTACAAGATGCCTTACACTTTGAAATCCTTCAATTTGCCAATGATACTATATAATTGGGTGAAGGTTCTTAGAAAAATATTTGGAGTATAAAGGCCCTTTTCCGTAGTTTTGAGTTGGTCTCGGGCTTGCGTATCGATCTTTTTAAGAGTAGGATCATGGGCGTTAATGTGGTTCAGGATTTTATTCAGGCAGCCTCTACTTTTCTCGATTGTGAGATCAGTAATCCTTCCTTTTTGTTTCTTAGTATTCCGGTGGGGATTAAGCCTATGAGGAAAGATGTTTGGAAACCTATTATTTCCAAGATCAAAAGAAGACTTTCTAGTTGGAAGAATATGAACCTTTTGATGGGGGGAAGAGTTGTCCTATTGAATGCAATCTTGACCAATATCCCCATCCACTTCCTTTCCTTATATAAAACTCCAAAGTCGGTAATTAAAGAGATTATTATGCTTCGGAGAGCGTTTTTGTGGGGCGGTGTGGAGGAGAAGTAGAAGATTAATTGGGTTGGTTGGGATTCTATTTGTATGCCTAAGAAGGAGGGAGGTCTTGGCATTAAACATTGTGGGTTGTTCAACATTGCTCTTCTTTGCAAGTGGAAGGGAGAATCTTGAATGATGACTCATCTATTTGGACTAACATTCTTTCTTGCAGGTACAGTGACATTAAGAGGCGGATGTTAATCGATTCTCCTCCTCGGTTGGGATCTAAGGTTTCTCTTGGGTGGAAAGACTTGTGTGCAGTTGGTATACATCTTGAAATTGACAGAGAAAATTGGTTCACCTCTTCTATTACTTGTAAATTAGGATATGGTAATTTCATTGATTTTTGGCGGGATCGTTGGTTGGGTTCTACACCTTTTTGCGGGCTCTTTCCAGATCTTTTCTTCTTTGCTTCTTCCGACTATGGGCTGATTTCCCTTAATGGTTGTTGAAATTCAGATGCTTGGGTTTGGCAACCTTTTTCCTCGACGCCGAATCTTCCCCGAGCAGCGGTTGTTTCTTTGGATGATTTGTTGTTGATCTTGCATCAGGTTCTACTATCTCGTGGAGTTGTCGATCGTTGTTCGTGGTTGGAGACTCCTTTTGCATCGCCTTCCATCGAGGATGAATTTATCTAGACGTAGTGTTTTAGTGGGTCAAGACAATTTGGTTTGTCCCTTATGTTTTGGAGTTGAAGAAGAAATTGATCATCTTTTTGTTGGTTGTCTGGTGTCGTCCTCTTGGTGGATTAGAGCTTCTGATTGGCTCCAAGTATCTCTTAACTCAAATTCGGATTCTATTGTTGATAGGTTGATTTCCTTTAAATCTTCTTATAGACTTAAGTTCCATTTGAATTCGGGATAGATTTTTGGTTTAGCCTTTTGTTGGGTTGTTTAGATTTGTAGGAATGTTATTCTTTTTTAATGGGATATTCTTTATAAGTTGGACGGTTTGGATATGTTCAAGTTTTTGGCTTGGGAGTAATTTTTATTGAATTATAATTCTGATAGTAACGTGTAGTGGTTGGGGTGGTATGTCTTTCTAATTTCTTATTTAATTCGTTAATTGGAATTTTGTCTTTTGTTTTTATTGGATTGTGTCCCTCTTATACCGTTTACTTTATAATCACTTTGTTTAAACTTTATTTTTCGCTTTCAACTTAACTTAAGTACCTTTTGATTCAACAGATTTAACTTTAATTTGTTATTTCATCTGTTGTGTTTTCTTCTTTATTAATACTTTAAATTTTTTTTTCATGTTTAGTTATCACGATTAAAAATTATTTAAAGAATGTTTATCATCAAAACTATTTAATGATACACAAGACTTTATAAGTTCCCTCTCGATGACCACAAAGGTAGAAGAAGTAAAACACCCATCATGAAACTCACTATTATACTTGTTCAATTAGTTTTTAGGTGGTCAAACCCTCACACTTTGATGAATACATGCATCCACTAGGTCATAGAATGTACCACTTGTTCCTTTCTTTTTATTTTCCTAAGTCACTTGTTAATTAAGGACAATCATAAGCATGGGTTGTACTTTGATTACCAATTCACTTTGATCATATATCACTTAGACCACTTCTTACATAAATCATACTTCACATTTCAAATAATTGTAAATTTGTAATTCATATAAATCATATTTTACATCCGTCGAACTTCACAAAAATCATATTTCAAATAAGTTGCAATATACATAATAATAAGAGACTTTTCGAGTCACGTAAACTAAGGTTATTATTATAACACAAATTCATAGTACACATAGTTGATATATTCGATTAGAAATAACAACAACACGTGATAAGATTCTAAATATCACAATACTAAAAACTATATTGAATTCATAGTAATTAAATATAGTAGTTAAAGAGACATAAGATCATCCAAATAAACGAACATGTGAGCTTATCGAATTAGTTAACATAACACAACACAACATTGTTTGAGGTACACTATCACCGTTACAACAAATTCATAGAACATTAATCACATATTACAACCTATGTAAGATATATAAACTCATTTTGATCTTAAGTTACCCAAATAATATTAATTAATCAATTTAAATTTAATCACTAATAAGACTTTAAAAAATTGGAGTCTCAAAGAAAAATGTGCTAGTTGTACACACATTATTTTATTATTTTATTTCAACTTTCTTGTTATTAATTTTATTGTGATATACTTTAATATAGTATTTTTTATTAAAATATTTATAATTCATCCCTATTCGATAGAGTTTTGTATCCTTCCCTAAAAATATCTACGAGAGTTGTTAGATTTAGATTTAGAAATATTTTATGAGCTAAAGAACTAGGATTATGAATGTGTGTGTTCCCTAATAATTTTTGCAAAGTGCATGCATGAAGACCAAGTCATTCAATAAGTGGCTAACAACATCTCATTTGTCAATTGAAAGCAATTGAAAGAACAAGAAAAGTAAACATGATTGAGCATAAGTAGGTACACTTGAAGTCTTCAAAGAGATTTTTATCCATACATATTTCATAGTGACTAGTTACAAGATCTTCATATCTATTACAAACATTATTAGAAAATACATAACATGCAATTATATATCACGAGAGTGAGATAGAACATGAAGTTAGAGTCACTTTCAAAGTTAAAAAAATGGTAACAATTTCAAATATAAACTCCATTCATTTGTTCCATTAGAAAATATGTGAATCCAAAACCATATTATCATGAACAAGAGGTCACAACTCACAAGCTATGTAAAATACAAATACATGAACATGAAACCAAAAATCCTCATGCAGCCAAAATGGCATTAGAAAATCACAACACTTGTTTCCCTGTCAAAGTAATGCTAATAGACAACATCATGTCAGAACCTCATTGGTTAACTTGACGCAAAAGGAAGAAAATTCCACAACTTGTGCATTCAATAATGCCAACGATTCTCCCAACAAATTCTGATGCCTCATTAAATGCATTTTGCACACATTATATCACCTTCTCTCTCTTTCATTTTCAATCTTTACCACCTCACCAACTATATATATATATATTTCTATATTTCTATTAAATTGTTCAAGAAATAATTGACAAAATATCATTATATACTTTCTCTTGGTTGTTTTATATATATTTCATGATTTCTATGAGATCTAAGAAAAAAATTTGATAATTTGATAAAAACATTATAAATAAGGACGCAATTTCCAAGCAGTTGGCTACTTAGCAAAAATAAATAAATAAATAAAACAAATAAGTAAGAAAAACATTTTATTTGTAATAATAATAATAAAATTATCTCATTCCACTATTCCTTTCAAACTAGGGTAACAAACATGAGGTAAACCCGAGTCAATACCCGAACCACGATCCTTGCCTTGTGTTAAGGAACCTAACCCGACCCGACCCGACCCGGCCCTAGATAACCTTACCACCATGCAAGGAACATTTTTTTCCACGAGTGGTTCGTTCTTGACTCAAACACCCCCCACACCCCAATTACATCTTTCACATTTTCATGTACTCCCAAAAACAACAACAAAATAATTATAACAAAAAAAAAAACCGACAAGTCACGTGATTTACATGATGATCACGTGACTCAGCTTTCACAATGAAGTGCAGCTTTGATTTTCTGAACGGTGCAAGAAATGAGATTGTTCACTGTTTCGACTGATTCCACGGTGAGTTTTGCCGTGGGAAGACTATTCACAAGGATCTGAAATGCCACTGTTAAAAGTGATCCGCTAACACGAGCCTCGCCTCCGTTTGCTGTCGGCCCATTCTCCGGCCCACGAGACCCAGGCCCATCGGGTACAACCGCAAACCCAGACGGTAACAAAGCAACGTAAGCTGAATCGCCACCGTTCATCACAACATGCATGGCCGGAATATCCACCGGCGCGTAAACTACAAGCGACCCCGCCTCGTCTATGCATGTTTCTTGTAGTATCAGCATACTACTCTGGTTCGAATTCATAGCCTACAAAATAAATATTAAAAAATGAACAATAAATACAAAATAAATAATAAATGAATAATAAATAAAAAATGAATGAGAAATACAAAAGTAATACATAATGTATTGTCATTTTCTTCTACCGATTGATGACCTAAGCTAGTCAAACCAAGATATAAATTTTTCTTAAAATAAATATTATATCTTATTTTTAAAATATTAATAAATTATTAGTATTTGAATTGATTAAAAACTGTGGCCAGAAAATAGAAACCGTATTTTGACTTATTATAAAAGCTTATCTTTATACATATTCATAAAAGTCTGTGCTTGTAATAGTTCCATCCGAAATTTCCTTCTTTGTCCTTTTCAATTTTTCAACTTCTAAAATCCAAACACTACCGACAAAAATAAAACAACCTCATTCACATTTCAATGTAAGTGTTAAACGAACCATTTTTGATCTCCTCCATTTTAATAAGTCAATTTTTTGGTCCCTAAATTTCACTTTACTCCAGATTTTGTTGATTCGCTGTAGTTTTGCATATGTGGCGTCCTTATTAATGTAGCGGTATCATGGTATCATGATTAATAAAAGTGTCACGTATGCAAAACTATAGAGAGCCAACAAAATTCCTGATTACAGTAAAATTTAAAGACCAAAAAAATTGGCTTTTAAAATAGGAGACTAAAATTTAAAAAAATTGAAAATAGGGATACCAAAAATACATTTAAACCTTTTTTTTTTAAATAGTAAAATCAGTTTAAAATATTTTCAATAATTTTTTTTTATGTAAAATGAGAGAGAGGAAGAAAACTTACACTAGCACGGAGAAGAGAAACGCAGTTGCCATGATCTTGTCCTTTGGCAATATGAGCCATTTCTTGCATGGGACCACCGTTGGATAGTATATCCCATTCGCTACGGAGCCTCTCGTCGCGCAGAAAGTCGAACAGTCTTTGAGGCGAAACTGGGAGCCATACTGATGTTGCTGCACTCAACACAATCCCTGGAGGCTCGCCAGGATCGTCGACGCTTTTACGTGTCATCACTCTTACATCTTCGTCCACGTTTCCGGGACTCAGCTTGTTCCATTTGTGGACTGTGGAGGCACATACCCCCGCGCAGAAGTTGTTCGTCATTCGCTGTGCGAGCTTCAGCATGCTCCGCCTTCCTCCTGCAGTTATTGCTACAAGCCATACATAAAGAATTTATTATCAAAAGCTATTAATGTGTAGCACAGTGGTGTGAATATTTTAAGAGTTAGAGTTGTACCGGAGTGGTCTCGAGAAGGTGCGGCGGAGGACATTAATATGGCAAGACACTCGCATTGGCGTTGTAGAGTAGCGACCCAACGTGCCGCACCGAATCCCATACCTGAACTCAACAATGGTCTATAAAGCTGGTGGACTGTGTTTTCTTCATATTCTGCATGTTCCACCCATGTCACCTGCAAAATCACCCATATATTCTTAATTCATTCATAATAAATGTATCAATTTAAATCATGTTACAAATCATTTCTATTATTTTATTTAATAAATCTCATTTCTTGTGATATTTGTCCAAAAAAATGTACTTGTAATACGATAAATACTGTGATGAGATTGATGAACCCTATAGAAAAGGACAAGAGGTGTCTCATGGACCATAGGGTACACTATTGATAAAGTCAAGCAAGATTTATAGGAGCAATGAAAAATGTGAGCATCGAGATTTGCCAAACTAAAACACCCTAAACAAATGCTCATAAGAAAAAGACAAAAAAGCCAGTTTCTATTGTTTGACCCTATGAGTATATTATATACATCACTACATAATATAATAGCCTTGGAACTTTGCTAAATCCAAATCTCGTGATTTAAATAAGGTTTGTATGTTATTATCTAAATAGAATCTATAGAATCAAAGATTGGAATTGGAATAGAAACTTATGTATATTGTTTATAGAATCAAAAAGTACTTGTAAGATAAGATTACAAGGAAATTTGCTTTTTTTAGTCAATGTGTGTAAGGTACAGAAATTCAAGTTATAGAGGCTTCTATAATTAAAATAATGGATTAATAAATAATCTATAGTTTAGATCACATGAGAAGCATCTTTACTCAGGTGCAATGCAATTCTTTGAAAGTTGAATATTAATATTTTATTTGACATAGTAGTTATATAGTGAGTATTCACTAGACTATAGCAAAGTTAAGTTACATTGAACTATGAGCTTTTTTAATTAAGTTCAGAACACAATGTATGGAGGAATGTAAATCAATTTTGTTGTTCAACATGAAATGTAGGGATTATGGAAGCAATCAAATGCTAAGAACAAGAAAAAATAGCATTTTTAGAAATTTGATTACCTTGGAGTAACCATTAGGCATATCTTGCACAACACAACCAGAAGGAAGCTTCCTGCAGTTCATAAAACTTGTAGCGCCGGAAGTTTCTCTGATGGTGTCGACAGACACGTCGACTACAGCCCAAACTCCTTCTGCATGCTGCTTGCAAAACCTAAGGAAGTTTATCTCGCGAACCGGAACTAAAGGTGATAGCACGTGAAGTTCAGCTTGCATCTGAACACATAAATTATATATGGTCTTAAAACAAGTGTTGCTAATTGCGGAACATGTTCGTAAGTAAAATTCAATATGACAACTTTTACTTACTAGTTGAAGTGCGCCATTTCTTGTTCCGTTTATTCCATTAGATATCACTTCGGTTGTTGAGGTTCTTGCAATGATACATGGAAACATCTCGATCCATCGATCCTATTAAGGCGAAAGAAAACAAGCAAATCAAATTCGTAGTTATATGGAAACATCTCAAATTTATAGATAAAATCACAATGTAAAGGAAAAACATCTGCGACGACCGTACTTGAGGATGCATCAACAACATTAACATCTTAAGAAAAGTGAATTGCAAGTTCAGAAACTCACCGAGTCCATAAGAGTCTCGACAAGGGCCAAGCTATTGATTATGACCATGCCGGTCTCTCTAGAGGCCTCGGAGACAAAACCATTAGGTCTCAAACCAATGCAAGGAGTGAAAGTCCTTGAATATTCATCATGGTTCAAAATCTCCCTTCCCCCTTCTAGACTCCTAATCCAAAGAGGCTCACTAGTTTGAGCCATCTTAACCAACTCATCCATCGCAGCCAAAGCAAGCTCAAGAAACATAGACCTTTCGACCGATCTATCAAATCCACCCACCAAAGTTGTTGGCCTAGTCGAAGGAGACACAATGGCTAGAGGGTTATTATTCATCCCTCCACTAAAATCAGGTAATGCTGAAGAAACATTGTTCATCACATTAAAACCATTGTTGTTTCCTCCAACACCAAGTTCTAAACTTGAGTTAGGTAACGAAGAAATTGGACGGCCTAAAAACTTCCCAGCCAGTGCACAAACTCTATCTAGCTCATCTTTCAACCTTGCATTCTCGATTCGAAGATGCTGTTCCTCAAGTGAAATCTCGCCGATTATAGCTGGACCACCACAATTCGAACATATAGGATTCCTCATTGCATCCCTTATAGACATATTCTCAGCTCTTAGCTTATCATTCTCTTGCCTAAGCAATGAGTTCTCATGCCTTTCCAATTGAGTCTAGTATAATTGCACAAACAAGGAAAAAGTTACTAAAAAAACCTCCAAAAAAAACCATGTGAAAAAAATGAAAATGACTTATGTTGTCACATACCTTCATTTGTGTTCTTCGATTTTGGAACCAAAACTTAACTTGTCTTGTTTCCAAACAAAGCCTTTTGCTAAGTTCCAATCTTTGCTTTTCATCTGGGTGAGGACACTCCTTAAACAAACTAAAACACCATTTGAAAAGAACAAAAAAAAAAACATCATTTTTTTAAAACCTAAACAAACCTTAAAATAAATAAAAAAACACAAAAAAAGGTACAAGAGAACTACGCTTCAAGCTCTTGAATCTGTTGAGGAGTGTGTCGGTGATATCTCTTTTTCCTAGGAGGTTTATCATCAGCATCTTGTTCATCACCAGAAACACCATCCAAGTTATCACTACCAGATCTACTTTGCTCCTCTTCTCTACTCCTTCTCAAACCATTTTGCTCAAAATTCTCATGCATTGATCTATTCACATCTTCTTGTCCATCAATATTAGTTTGCTGCATTTTTTTCAACAAAAGGTAAACAAAACAAACAAAAAAACCAAAATATAACAAAAGTACAAAACAAAAACAAAAACAAGACCAAGATCTCTCACAAGTGCAAGTGACAATCCAGATGAGTTGAACATGGATTTAGCCAAAGTTGGAGTAGTAACAAGACGAGGTTGTGAGAATGAACCAAATGGCATTCTTTCGTTGTTGTAGGAAATTTCTCCTATGTTTCTCACACCTCCACCACCTCCTGAATTGTTCTCTACAAAACCCCCAAAACTCATCAAATAAACAACTTTTTTCTTCTTCTTCTCTTCAATATAAAAAAAAAAAAACCCAAAACCCAAAACCAAAAAAGTTGGAATCTTTTTCAACCCCTTAATCTGGGTGTCAGCAGAATCATCAAAAAGTACTGAACTTTGTAAGAAAATGAAAACAAAGAGATAGTGGAGACAAAGGGTGAAGAGTATGAAAACCCAATGTCTCAAAAGTCTCTCTGCAACAAAGAAGAGAATAAAAATGGTATCTTTTTGATATTTTTCTGTGTTTTCTTGGAGAGAAAGAAGGAGAAAAAAGGCAAGGTTTTGCTCTTCGTTCTCAGTCTCTCTCTCTCTCTTTCTCAGCTACCCTTATGAGAGAAGTTTGTGAAGCTCAGAACTAGTAAAGGGGTGGTGTGGATTTGGGTTAAATGGGAACCCTAGAAGTGGTTTATTTTGGTTTGTTGCATGCTTGACTAATGTTATTAGGTTTTTTCAAAGAAGAAAAATAAGTACTTTTTTATATTGTTTTTAGGACAGAGAAAAATAGTTGTAGAGTGTATAGTAGAATAGATTTTAGAGAGAGAGGGGTTGAAGATAAAGGGTAAAGATGTGGAGTGATTGAAGCCTTACAAATAGATAGATCCAAAAAGGGTCGGTTGACTCTTGGCACTGTGAATGATCTGTTTTTTTGCACTGTATCCCTATAAAGCCTGTGAATGACGGTGAAAATTGATATGTGACTTTTTCATTACTTTTTCTGGGAAGGAGTATATAGGAAAAGTAAACAAGGTATATTGATAGTGTGCTTCCAGGTTCAGATTTCATCCATGAGATTGGGTATTTTTCACTATGATGTCAAAACAGTATAATTTATAATTTATTTTAAGTCATTTTAATCCTTATCTAAAAAAATTTATATGATTGTCCTAGTTTAATGATTTTTTTAATAATCACTTTTTTAAAAAAATTCTTAAATAACTACTTTTTTTAAAAAAATATCAAAATAATTACTTTTTCGAACAACAAAATTTTGCAACACATGAAAGAAGTTATTTTGTGTGGCACATACATATAAAATAAAGAGGAGGCGTCACACTATATGGTTTGTCCTCTTATGTAGTGTCGTGCAGTGGCGCATGCATATTCTTTTTAAGGAGGGGGCGTCATCCTATGTGGCTTGACAATTGTATTTGGGTTTCTATAAATACAATCACTCATCTTCACTATTTTCACACCTCTTCTCACATCACTCTTAAAAAATGTCTTTCACTCCCTTGCCAAGGTCTATCACTTCATTGCCAAAGTTTTCACTAATCAAAAGAGATGCTTATGTTATTTTTTCACCGACAAAGCCTCTGATGAAGATCAAACTCTAGAACACGCAGGCATTCGAGCATTTTCAAAGGCACTTGTTTCGCTGGTTGGAAGGAGACATTCCTGATGGTGAACAGATCAGAAAAATTGAAAGACAAATTATAGTGAGGAACGATAGTTGAGTAACTCGTTCATAGAAAATCGTGAGAACGACGTGGATGTCCTTATGATGATGTTGGACAAGGTAATATTGTGTTGATGGTTTTAATCTCTTAGTTATTATGATGTCTTCAGTTGTTTTGTATGTTTATCGTGTTATTGTGTTTTGTGTAGTTGTCTTGAGTTTGTCGTGTTGTAATTTTTTGGGTCATTGTTTGTAGGTTATTGTAATCGAATGTTAACTTGAACACGAAATGAAAAACCAATTTAAATTGAAATTTCTTGCTTAGAACAAATAAATTACTTCAAAAAGTTTGTTATAAAAAAATTATGTTACAGAGCAAGACTCAATATTCAGATAATTTTTTCTATTGTGTCCAGGAAGACGACATGTACTTCATAATCTTATCATTGTGTTTGTTGTATCCATTTCAGTTCTAATATGTGTGTTGTTTGGGCGGCTCTTTTTCTTCCTTCGCATTTGTTCATTGTGCTAGATAATATCCCCTTGATAAGCAGGTTAATAATCCTCATTTGCCAACATAGAGAATATATTGATGTACACACTTAAAATACTCTCGATTGTGTAAATGGGGGATATATATATCCTTTTGGGTCCAAGCGAACATGCGAACATGCCGCTATGACATGAGAGCAAGGCATGCGAAATGCTTAAAACCTTCTGCAATCGCACCAACTTATATCTAGTTTGACTCGAAAGTATCCCCTTGGCCCCCTCATTATGATCAATCGTATTTTATATACTGAACCAACCTTTAATACGGTCAAACACGACGACACTATAAGTGTTAGCTTTGACAGCCTCCTCGTTAAATTATTTCATTGTGCATTCACTAAGAAATTGCCCTGATTATAACACAGCCCTCCATTTTGAACTTCTTGTATCAAACTATGACCCCAATCTAAAATATGTTGTTCTAACCAATGCAGTAATTGGTAGGTTTCTGATGCCTTTGAAGACAGAGTTCATTGATTCCACCAAATTTGTTGTCATGTGGCTCCATCATTGACCATTGTCAAATGCCTGAGTCCACTTCCCCACTAGAATATTATCAATCCACCTTAACGCTTCTGAGTTTGTCAATCGAATTTCTTTGTGATAGTGTGGGAATGATGGTTTTGTTAAGGCATACCCTACATTAACAACTTTCTTCGAAATGTCTTGTCTTTGACATGGAGAATGAAGTTTTGTGTGATATATCTAATGCAATAGTCATGCATTGAAAGGGGGGGGGGGGGGGTCCTTCCAACCGTTATCAATGTTATTGTATGCACTTACAATCGATGGATATTTGTCCGAAATCAAACAAAGGTTGGGTTGAGAAGTATAGTTCTTAGTGTAAAAATGCATGAAACAACAGTTGTTCTTTCTATTCATGCGCCTTTTTGCTCCACACATGGTGTTGCACCCAAAAAAATTTCCCTCTTCATTTTACCCTACATGGATTGTGTTTCATCACACATACTCATGCATTCTCATGATAGGACCAAGGTATCTTGGTTCCTAAATTCTTCTACAAGCTATTGAAAGTTGATTGTATTTATAATCAGGAAAAAGAAGGGTCTTATATCCTCAATCTCTGAGTCACTCAAGCTTTAAGGGTTTCTCATACCTCAATACATCTCATTTGTCTCATTGTGTCGTCAGAAGTTTGAAATTGCAAGTGTTAATTCTTGAATCATTTCTTTCCTATGCATCTCTTGAAATTAGGGTTTTGGCCAATTGAAGTATTTAAGGCTTGTATGAGCTAAATTTTTGAAGAAATATCCTCTCATTATTATATGATGCATCTTTGTTCAGATAATTTCTCAACATGTTCCTTGGAATTGGGGTTTTAAAGTGTGGTCATCATCTCCTAACACAAAGAGCCAAAATTAGGGTTTTTGATTTAATCAGGAAATATTTGATTTTTTGGAAAAGACTTGATTCTATATCTCTCTACATGTCCATGAGCATATTTTATTGAAAGATTGAACATCAATTTTGGTTGGAAGAGGTTCAATTGATCAAAAGGGGCAAAACAGTCATTTTGACTAAAGTCAAAAAAGTCAATTGTGGTTAAAGGGATTTTTGGTCAATATGAAATTCAACATCCCCATTTCCATATTGCATGGTAATTGATGAAATTAAATTAAGAGAGTTGTTGAATTTGAAGTTAACTTGTCAAAGAAGTCATTTGAACATTTGAAAAAAATTTAAGTGTGGAAATTCATAGTACTAAACTTTGGAAATTCACAACTTCTTCATTTTTTGTCTAAAAAAATACAAACCTTATATGGTTGAAAAGAGGAGAGAAAGTTCTTCAACTTCGTCTTTGCGGTGTCAAGACCAAAAAAGTGATTATTTTGAGAGATATTTGGCTTGGAAATTTCTGGACACTTGGAGATTTTTAAGATTTTTTTACTAAAAGGCTGATGTCTTCACATCCACTTTTAAAGTGTCAAATGGTTTCAATTTTGAAAAGTTTCAACATAAAAATTGTAGCTTGAATCCTCCTATACACTTTTGATTCAAGAACTATTTCATTTGGTTCACTATAGAGGAAGAATATATGATGGTTAGGACAAGAGGGCTTGAGAAGGCGAATTTGCCCAACAAAGGAAGCCTCGCGCGTGGATTTTCGTCAAACACATGGTGGGCACACCTTCACCACTGTTGTACCCCAAAATTTTCTCTCTCATTTTATCAAAATTTCCCCTCACAAGACTCTTTGGACTCCAGACAGGATTAAGGTTTGCTCTGCTCAAGACATCTCCTTGCATTGATGACCTGAAATTAGGGTTTGAGTTTGCACAAGGATTTTTGAACTTCCAATGCCTCATATGACTTTCATACTTTATTTTGGACTTATAAGATTGCTCATACCAAGTTTCAAGCCTTGAATCAAATTTTTGCTCAGTCAATTGGACAGTTGACCTAAAAACCATCTGTATTGGGGAAAAAGTCAACTGTGGCCAATTTACAGTCAAACCTCATAATTTTTTATCCACGTAAACATTATAGACTCATATGAACCATTTGATCAAGTTTGGACCACAACTCCTCAAGAAATATGATCAGATCATTAAAAGGGTAAAATGGTCATTTTTAGGGTTTTGACTGCAGAAGGGCAATTTCTGATTTTTAACCTAGCCAATGGCAAATTGGGTTCAAGCATGGATTAAAGGACTCAATGGAATCATCTTGACCTACTCACAAGGTTCAAAAGATCTCAAAAGCATTGGATTGACAGATGAATTTTCCAGTCAACTGATCAAAAATCAATTGTACACTGAAAAGGCAAACTTTGACTTTTTGGTCAAAATCAAGTGCCAAGGGTCATTTTTCATCAAGATATGTCAAAAAATAAAACTTGTTCACCAAGAAACCTAATTTTGAAAATTAGGGTTTAAAATGGAAAATTTTCATAACTTAGAAAATTTCTAAGTTATGAAAATTTCTTATTTTTTCCCAACTTTTCCCAACTTTTTCACCATGATGCAATTGGATTCAAAGAAAACTTCCAACATGGAAGTTGTAGTCCTCCACA